TGGAGATCATTTCGCAGTGCTACAGTAGTTAAATATTTTCACACATACTTGTAATAGCTTGTTGTACCTTGCTTTTATTATAAAGCTCAGAACAGTAAATCACCCTCCGCAGAACATAAACCCAGGTCTGTATGTAAAGCAGTGCATCCGTGAGGCTCGGGGTTGTTCATCACATTGACGGACCATCATTAGTCAGTTCTCATCCAGCTGCTGAACGGCAACATTTTAATTGTTCTGTCTCCACCCGTCTCGGCTCGGAGAGTCAGCTGTCAGGGCCGCACAGGGTTTCCTTCTGCAGCTGTTTGCTGATAAATCTGCCACTAGATTAAATGCTTACTTCAGCGGCGATGAAGAGTTGGTGCGCAGGTTCTTATTCAGCTGGTTTTAGAGAGCATTTTAGTTTTTTCTGATGAAATAACTCTAGTCACAGTTAGTAAGACTGTTTTTAGATTAACATCTCATAAAACTTTAACTACCTATTTTTTTTACCATAAAAATTTGATTAAAATGTTTGCACATTACACACTTGAAAAAAAGGTCATGATCCCCTGTTATTAAAGTTACTCAATCATTACACGTTTTAATAAAACCTACAAAAGGTTATCCTGAACTATATCAAGTGGTGCTTTTTGAGAGAATTTACACTACTGAGGACACATAGTCTGTATGAGCACTCTGCTGAGTTCGACAAAAAACCAAGTGGAAGCTTGAGTCAAGTGATGTTATGGAAATATCAGACAGTAGAATTTCGGGGAAACTCAAGGTGAAAATATAAAAAGGAATCAACTGCTAAACACAAAAGAAAAGAGAACGAATGAATAAGACAAGGGTTAGGAAGAAATAACACAAATCAAGCAGAGCTGTTGAGCGCCAGAAAGATCGGAATTCAAACACATGCAGGTTGTGAAAAACTTCTTCTGGACCTGCAGTTTTACTGTTGCAACCTAACCTTTTAACGGCACACATTCCTTAACAAATCTGAATAAAACACAACTGACCAACACATAAAATTATCGGACATCACAATCCCAAATGGCTCTTCCATGATTGTTGTGATCGTTGATCTATTTTCAGTTACTTAAGCCGTTTTTATAGGTAAACAAGCATATGTGGTAGCTTGTCTTTGGTCCCAAATTTAGCTTATAAATTGATCATTTAGGAACTCATTGGCCAGCAATATTAGAACAAATATTGGGCAGATTTTAAAAAATATTTTAGGATGTTCTTATTGAACAGTCTTCATGACTTTACAGCAAGTTCAAACATTTATAATTTACTGTTATAATAACATAGTAAGGCATCACAATTCACAAGTGCAGAAACCTAAAAGATCTACAAAAACACATGCTCCTTTGTTTTGGTGAGACATTAGTAGACCAAGTTTTTGTTTTAAATGCAAAGTATTTTTAATGTTTGTCATGATTTTTTTCAGGTCCTGGATATGTTTAAGTGGATTACCAGACTTTGTAGCAAACCTTGTTTGATTTGAATAGATTGTGGAAAGAAAAAAAATTCTGGAGCTGTTAAAAGCTTCAAGCAAGAAAAGGGTTAATTGTGAGTTGACAAAGTATTACACAACATATACAATTCATGATCACAGTTATTTATTTTCCAAACATTTTTAGCTGGATTCATCTGACTTCTTGGCTGAAGGTACAGATGTTTGCCAGCTTCAGAGCTCCTACAAGTAGAATACTGTCACCAGTTTATGTTGCATCCCCAGGAGACGGTGAACATTACATAATTTTCACGGCTCCGTAAATTAAGACACCCAGCAAGGCAGCGTGAGAAGCGCCTTCTAATAAGTTGCACCATTATTGAATAAACATAATAACTCTAACAACATACTGCCAGATGTTTGGAAATTACTACATTCTAATGCGTGACCTTAATTAACCCCACATCTGAGCCTCAGCAAAGATAAGAGCATGAAGTGAACGATGCTGGAAAATTAGATTTTTAAACTTATGAGAGAGAAAGTAACTTAAACATTACACTAAATACAATGTTCTGCAAAGTGTTTTAATGTGAATTTAATATTAACTCATAACAGTGAGACTGAAGCTGTGTAAAATGAAATAAAACCCTTGTTAATGAATGGTTAAAGTCCAGCAACAAACAAAAATGCCAAGTCAGCAAAATACTAAAAATACATATATTTTTTATATTTAAAGCATCCACACTTATTTAAAGTTGGACAAAAAAAGAAATAAAAACAAACAAGCAAAAGTATTAAATAAAATTTAAAAAACTCCTAATTTTTTTATGCTAGTATCATGTTAATTTTTTTCCTCATTCTAAGGAATAAATAGGTTGTATTTGATAATTTGCGTGTTTAAACATTGTTTAAGTTTTTGGCTCGTGCTGCTGTTTTAGTACTGACATGTCTTCTAGTCTGTATTGAGACATGTTGAGTTGTTTCATAAGAGTCAACACAGACTCACAAAATTATAAAAGGTGCCATGGAAGGCAGGAGAAATTCTATTGTCGTGTGTTCATTTGTTGTCAGTTTGCAAAATATCTCATGACCCAGTGGCAGATTTCATTGGATTTCAGAAACTAATAATTGGACGTACATCTAATGATTAACTTGTCTCGTCAACCTGATTCAAGGTCTGATCCACCACAGCTGAACGACTTACAAATGACTAAAACTCAGTCAGTTTGATAGATAATAAGCTAAGATGTGGTGTGGTAGTAGCTGAGAGTTCTCGTCAGCTCTGAGAAACACAGATGAGTTATTTGTTTGAAACTTTAGCAGGCAAAGCAGCAAGAAACTTCCTTTAATCTGCTGTGTTCAGGAAATTGTTGGGCTGCAGCTCATATTTTATTACCGTATGTGGCTGGGAGAAATATTGAACTTATCAAATAAAACATTGAAGGCAGTCTTTTTACTGGAGAAAACTCGCTTTACATTATTTTTGTACAGGTAGTACCTCTGTGAATCAATGGTCAGTTAACCAGACTCAATAGGAAATGCAGAGGTTTTGTTTATGATCAGTCCATAAAGTCTCTGAGAGAAACAAACACTTTTTTTATATTGGACTGCTTCATCTGCCACAAAACAACCTAATACATCTCAAAGAAATGTGCTGTGTCCTTTGAGCGCTGTTCTAATTGTGTCACCTGCAATCACGTTGGTCCTATAAAAATGGTGAGTTTGGACAGGGCTGCTGTTTATTTATTTAATGTCGAGATTTATTTGTATAATTTCGTCAGGGTAAAGAGGCCACGTTGAGCTCACACTCAGACTGTCACATCATTAGTACGATGAAGACACATGATGTGACTGAAAGCTTCAGTTTAGCTTATAATAAACACAAACCGAGGGGTGTGGCCTTTCCGGGTTTAATCGTCTCAGAGTTTTATGCACAAGCGAGAGGAGAATGGAGCGTGAGATGAACGGGTGGAATCGGTGCGGCATTCACAGTGTTGCGTACTCTGCTCCGGTCCGTTGTGGTGAAAAAGGAGTTGAGGGTGAGAAGTCCAGTTGTCCAGGAGAGACTTGGAGCTGCTGCTCCTCCTCATTGAGAGGAACCGGTTGAGGTGGTTTGGACATCCAATAAGGCTGTCCTCTGGATGCTTCCCTATAGGGAGGTGCTTCAGGCATGTCCGACGGGGAGTGGACCCTCGTTAAGACTCGGGACATGCTGAGGACACTGTCTTTTGGTTGGCCTGGGAACACCTTGCAATCTTTTGGAACAAGTCTGGAGCCTCCCTGCCCAAGCTGTTGCCCCCGCAACCCGACTCTTCAACAAGAAGGTGATTAATGGATGGACGGATTAAGGGGCATTTTGTTTTATCAGCTGCAGAAAACATTGGTTCTCATTTCCTTCTACACTGACTTTAATTATATATTTATATTCAGTGGACAACTGTGCTCATCGTTAAAAGGTGACTCCTGACAGGTAATTGTATCCTCAGAACACTAACTGTCAATCTGACACAAAGTCAAAGCACATTTAAATTAAACCCTAACCTTTTCTCTTTGGAGATTGGCATTAATAAATGCCACCTCTACGTGTCAAGAGATCTCTTTATAAGAAAATCTAAACATTATAATTTGAACAGTTTGAACAAACAAATTATAAAAATGGCAGTGATTTTATTACACACCTCAAAGGTGCAAATCTCTTATCTATTTCCTCTTATTTATTGCTACGAGGTGAAGATGAAGCAATACGATTTTTGCCTGTGAGTTTCTCTGCTGTGTTAGCAAAATATCTCATAAACCGCTGGATGAATGTAATCGTTGGACGTACATCTACATTTCCTTATCTTCTGGAGTCAGTCCAATTCAAAATAGCTGCCACGGTTTATCCAAATTCAACACAAAAATAGCTGGTAGTAGTGTGGTAGTAGCCAATCATCAGCCTCAACACTTCATTCATGCATATCTTTTGCCTGTTTTAGTTTTCCTTTTCGGGTTCACAGGAGTTTGGGTTCTACCTCCTGAAGTTACTGTACGGGAGGCGGGGGGCACCTGGACAGGTCACAATAACAAAGCACTTGGAGACGAACAAGACCACCAAACAAACATGCTTTCACTCACATCTAGGTAGAAATTAGAGTTACCAGTGAACCTAACATGCATGTTTTTGATCTGTGGGAAGAAACGGCTGTACCTGGAAAAAAAATCCATGTGTGCACAAACAGAACACACAAAACCCCACCCTGAAAGGCCCCAGGCCAGGAGGCACTCCTGCAACCCTAAGTCTACATTCACTGTAACACTTTAAAGAACCTTTTTTAAAATTACAGCTGCAAAAAAAACTGTTTTAGGTGTAAATGGCGCGTACCATCAGCGTTCATCATCTGCTGCGCTGTCAGTGAGGAGGTGAAACGTGGGAGGGGCTTGGGGAGGTGGTAAGACCCAGAGGAGGAGCAGAGACAGTGAGGGAGAGAGACACACAGAGAGAGGGAGAGAGAGAGAGGTGGGAGGAGAGAGGAGGAGGGACTGAGTTCACTATCGACTTTATGTGCCGCTGCTCGTGGTGTCAGCGTGCCAGTGTGTGCCTCAGCCTGCTGGTGAGTGTGAGCGCGTTGCTGTGCAGCTGTCTCGTCCGTGTGCGTGTGTGTGAATGTGTGTGTGACGTCCGGCTCTCTCTCTGCGTACGACAGGTGGAGATGACATGACTGCGCTTGAGAAAAAGAAAGCAAAGGACCTGTAAGGACTTTACACACGTCAACGCACACACACCTTTAAATTCCTGCACTTCTGGGATCAGATTAATAATTGAATATCTATGTGTGTCTGCATGTGTCTGTGTGAAAACCTGTATCAAAGTTTCAACAGCCCAGCTGATAACACAAAGACACAGACAGAAACAGGTCCTGATTATCAGTTTTGGTTGTTTGCAGACGTGGTCAGCAAGTGTTTTTGCGTCCTGAGGAGAGTTCAGCTCCGGCTCTGAGTGCCAGACAGTCCACCACGTTGTCCGAACAACTCCAGGTAGGATCATCTCTCTCTCTCTCTCTCTCTCTCTCTCTCTCTCTCTCTCTCT